TAAAATAAAATAAAATAAAAAAATAAAAGTGATATGTCTTCTTGGTAGAGTGTCCCTTTTATCATTATATATTGCCCCTCTTTGTCTCTCATTACCTGTTTTATCTTGAAGTCAACTTTGTCTGATATAAATATGGAAACACCTGTTTTCTTTTGTTTGCCATTAGGTTGGAGTATTGTCTTCCATCCTTTCACTCTGAGCCTATGTTTGTCTTTAGAGCTGAGATGTGTTTCCTGGAGGCAGCATATTGTTGGATCTTGTTTTTTAATCCCTCCCCCTACTCTGTGTCTTTTGATTGGAGAGTTCAGTCCATTTACATTTAGGGTAATTATTGATATATGGGGGTTTGTTGTTGTTATTTTATCACTCTTTTTCTGGTTCTTTTGCATTTCTTTTGTTTCTTATCTCACGTGTTTCGGACTACCAATTTAGTTGGGGTTCTGTATGGGGGTTCTCTTAGTTTTCTCTTTCTTTATCATGTGTGATTCTGTTCTGATTATTTGATTAGTGGTTACCATGAGGTTTGTATTAAAAAATCTCGTGGATGTGACAGTCTATTTTTTGATGGCCTCTTATTCCCTTAGACTAAGTCGATTCGATCCCTTTCCTCTTCCCCTTCTAAGTTATTGTTGTCACATCTTATTCCTTCTTGTGTTGTGAGTTCGTGTTTAACATGATGAGGTTATATTTATGCTTGGTGCTTACCTTCCCTTGATCTTTGGTTTTATAATTAAGTGTTTGCTAATCTATTTTGATAGAGGACTGCAATTTTTCTGGTTTTGTTGACCTATTTTCCTCCTTGTTCAAAACTTTGAATCCCCTTTCTCTTTTTTTTCTCAGAGATGAGGGCCTTCTTGAGCACTTCTTGTAGTGGGGATCTTGTGGCAATGAACTCTCTTAGCTTTTGTTTATCTGGGATAGTTATTATTTCTCCATCATATCTGAAGGATATTTTTGCTGGACAGAGTATTTCTGGCTGAAAGCTTTTATCCTTCAGAATTTTGAATATATCATTCCACTCTCTCCTAGCCTGTAAAGTTACTGTTGAGAAATCGGCTGAGAACCTGATAGGAAATCCTTTGTATATGTATGTTATTTTTTTTTTTTTTGTCTAGCTGCCCTTAATATTTTTTCTTTGTCATTGACTTTTGCCAGCTTTACTACTACATGCCTTGGAGAGGGCCTTTGTCGTGTTGATATATTTAGGAGATCTATTTATTTCATTCACTGGTATTTCCAGCTGCTTTGGGAAGTTCTCAGATATTATTTCTTTGAACAAGTTCTCTGCTCCTTTTTCCCTCTCTTCTCCCTCTGGAATACCTATAATCCTAATGTTGGATTTCCTATTTGAGTTGGATATTTCTCGGAGAGTTTCTTCATTTCTTTTTAGTCTTAGTTCTCTTTCCTCTTCCATCTGGAGCATTTCTGCATTGCTGTCCTCAATATTGCTAATTCTTTCCTCCATATTGTCAGCTCTGATGCTTAAGGCCTCCAGATTTGTCTTTATCTCCTCTATTGTGTTGTTCCTCTCTAAGATTTTTGATTGGTTTTTTTTACAGTTTCAATCTCTTTTGTGAAGAAACTCCTGATTTCATTGAATTGTCTGTCTGTGTTTTCTTGTATTTCATTAAGCTTTTTTATGATGGCTATTTTGAATTCTCTGTCATTAAGGTTATACATTTCTGTGCTTTCCGGGTGGACTTCTGGGTGCTTGTCATTTTCCTTTAGGTCTGGGATTTAATATATTTTTGCATGGTACCTGTTGGTGTTGGCTTACTTTTCCTCATAGTGAAAATGTATGGTCGCAGTTTCCTCTTGCTGCAGCTGGGTGGGGGTCAAGGGCTGTGTATTCTGGCCTGCCTCAATCTGTGGGCACTCTTGTCGGCCCCTGGCTGATCGGAAGCATGGCTGAGTGGAGGCTGCTGAGGGGGAAGTATGGGAACAGCTGGAGCTGGAGCATGGGAACAGCTGAAACTGGAGTGCAGGTAGGCTGAAGCAGCTGGGGCTTGGGTGCAGGTGGGTTGAAGCAGCTGCAGCTGAAGTGCCACTGGGCCAAAGAAGCAGGAGTTGGAGCGCTGCTGGGCCGAAGAACCTGGAACTGGAGTGCGCTGGGCTGAAGAAGGAAGAGCTGGAGCACCACTGGGCCAAAGAAGCTGGAACTGGAGTGCGCTGGGCCAAAGAAGCTGGAACTGGAGTGCAGTGGGCCAAAGAAGCTGGAACTGGAGTGCGCTGGGCCAAAGATCTGGAACTGGAGTGCGGTGGGCCAAAGTTGCTGGCACCAAGTCAGCTGGAGCCTGAGCACAGGCCAAGCCGAAGCAGCTGGAGCCGGAGGCGGGGCAGGGCGGTCAAGCCGAAGGAGCTGGGGCCATGGCATGGTGGATCCAGGGAAGCTGGGGCCATGGCTTGATCCAGCTGGAGGAGCGGGGGCTGTGGCATGGTGGGGCCTGAGCTGCCACTGCCTCTGGTGCGGGGGCGCAGTCTCGCCCCACTGCTGGTCGGGCCTGGGCACCTGGGGGCCGCTGCCTGTGGGGGTGGGGCACAGTCACGCTGCCCCTGCTGGTGGGGCCCAGGCACCTGGGGCCGCTGCCTCTGGGGATGGGGCTGAGCTGAAGCACAGCTGTACTGAAGCACCAGTCGGGCGGGCCAGGTAGGGGAGGGGAGCTTACTTTTGCCTCCCTGATCTCAGAGGGTTCTCGCCTCACTGTCACTCTCTGCTCTCCTGAGGGGCTAGTTTGTTGAAACTATCCTCGCAACAGTTCCGCTCCCTCCATAGGGGGATCCCCTCGGGCTGTGAGGGGTCTTAGAGAGCACCGCTTTTCACGTGGTAAGCTGCCCCTCCCCCTCCTCTGAGAGCAGCATGGTCTCAGTCTCTGAGTCACAGTCCTTGGGGAAGGAAGGGAGCTCCTCTTACTTCCTTCCACTTACTTTGGGGATTCCAGCACCTCAGTCCTCGGGTGTACAGCTGCCTGGGTGCCTCAGCCATCCCCTGTGTTGTGTGAATAGCTTCTTTTGGAATATGAATGTCCTTTTCGTTGTGTCTTAGAGGGGGAGAGTTCAATGGGGGAAGCTCACTCTGCCAGGATGCTGACGTCACCCTGAAAGCATATTATTGTTAGGTTCTTACATTATATGTAAAGTGGTAGAAAATTATTTGAAGGTGTAATCTGTGATAAGTAGAAAATGCATACTGTAAACCCGAGAGCAGCCATTGATAAAGTAAACAAACATTATCCGTCAAAGGCGTAAGAGTTCAAAGACCAAAAACAGCTGTATATGTGTAGGAAGGTGTGTGATATGGCTTAGAAAAACAGCTAAGAATGACATATTAATAAGACATGAAAAGAGAAATAATTAAGGCAAGAGTGATAGACTGTCTTACATAAAGCTTTAAAATTTCTTCCATGAAAAGACTCTACAGGCAAAATTGAAAGCAAACATCAAGTGTAGGGGAAAAAAATCTCAAATATATTCCAGGCAGATGGTTAATATTATCAATATATAAAGAGCTATTACAAACTGGTAAGAAAATTATAAGAATTCCAATTCAAAAAAGAACAAGACATGAGCAGACAATTTATAAAGAGGAAATAGTGAGCAAAAATATCCTTATCCTAACTCCATGATATACACAAAGTGCAAGATTACATATAAATATAAATATAGACATAGACACAGATATAGATATACACCTTATCCCCAAAAATAACTTGAGCTCAATTCTCTACATTTAGAAAGATGGATTTAATACATGGGATTTTATAATGTAAAGCTGCTGTCAACCAGAATAAGATGATATTTTGCAACACTTCCCCTATTTATCAGGCAGTCCCACAAGCACAAATTACTTACCTATCAAAATAGGACGGAATATAACCAGTAGTTAGATTTATGGCTTATTTTTCAGAGATTAGTTCAATGAGTTATGGGATATGGATACATGATTCTTGTTTTTATGAATTCACCATCTAGGGAAGAAAGATGATACGTACAGATATTTTAACTAACTAACAGTTGCAATAAGACAAGCCCATTTACATTCCAGAGTGGAGATGTAATGTTAAGATTAAAGGATTAGAGATTAGAGATTAAAAGGTAAGTGCTGGGATATCTAAAATCTGCTGCATCTTAAATGACAACATATGCTTGAAGGAGGAAGGAAAAACATTCCTTTCATTCTTATTTCTACAGCTTTAATTTCTCTATTTTTGATTGTTATATTTATCTTATAGCCATCCAAATGGATGACCTCCGAAAAACTGAGATAGCCCAAGGTAGTTGTAAAAAATACATTTCTTCAAAATATGGCTTCCATAATTCACGTAACGTTCATAAAACCACTCTTTAAACAAACATTGTGAAAATAACTAGTTAAACATATGAATTCACACAAACCTGTGATACTGCTCTTTCCAGTAACACTGAAATGTCACATTCAGGAACGTCACCTACAAGAGAAACTTCAGAGAGATTTTGTTCAGGAGAAATGGATTTTTCTTCTACCTTGACTTTTAACTTCCTTTTCCATTTTTTCAGTTGAAGTTCATGTTTTAACATTTGCCATGAAAATAATTTACAAATCCCATGGCATTGTTGGAAGGGTTAAATGAGATGATATACATAAAGGACAATGCTTGACACAGTGATAGCACCAATTAAACATTATTTATTATCATCATCATTACATAAATTATCACAGCCCACTGCATGTTCAATATTCTCTGAACCACCAAAGTATTATAGATCATTTCCCTTAGTTTTCATTTAACATTGGCACAGGCAGCCACCTTGAAGATGTGGTCCAGCATCCTCTTTTATAGATGAGGAAGCCAAAACCCACAGAGTAAAGGGTCTGTATTTGGGGCATGGAAGGAAGGTGGTTAGCATGGAGATAAAAAAGGAGAGTCAGAAGGAAAGAATTTGGGGACTTTCCTGATTTATCATTACAGGAAGTCCCCATTTTAACTTTTGACACATTCCTGAAAACTGCATAATCAAGAAAAAGCTCTAAGGGTAAATAAATGATTCACACACACACACACACATTTCGGTATAATACATATACGTATTAGGGCCTAAGGAAGAGCACACTGGAGAACTAGCACACAGAAGTGTTTCCCCCCTCCCCTCCCAACACACACCTGCCATCCTCACTCAGAATGATTGTGAGGCCAAGAAATCACATAGCTAGAAGAAAACGTCTTCTCTAAACACCCAATTAACTGTTTCATACACATCTTTCTTAAGGATCATATTATATTATATTTAATAAACATTATTATATATATTAATATATATCAACTACTGCATGCAAAACATTATGCTCCTTGTATGGGGATGGTTAAGAGAACAAGAGTGCCTGCTCTCAGGGATGTTCAGTGCAAGCAGGGTGTAAAAGGGGCTGATTGGTCACGCACAGTTACAGATTTCACCATTAGACAAGCAATGACCAGGCATGGGGGGCCGGGATCACAACACTAGCTTAGTACACAAAGTGGTAGAAAACGCTGGAGGAGCAGACTAAAACATTACGTGGTACCCAAAGTATAACTGTTTAACTGGCAACGTTGAAAATGTAGTCCACAAAAGGCATATACTAGAGGACCCCCTACCAGAACACCAGTTCAATACCAGTGGATGATAAACGTCTAGAGAGCAGAACAACGCGTTATGCATCTCAGTATCCTCTGCAGACCCTAGCACTGTTCCAAGCACTATGTGAGTAATCTTTTCACCCTCTCTTGGTACATGTGTAGTATCGCCAGCCTGAACAACTGAACCAACGTGGGGTGGGAGGCAGTGATCTTGCCCTCCATGGGGCAACCACAAAACGTATGGGTTAATTTCTTCCTATTTTTCTCTTTCCTATTTATCCTGACTTTATATTTCACAGAATATTAATAAAACATTACCTACTAAATAATGTAACTACAAAAAATTCCAGCATGTTTCTATGTCTGATCCTAGTAGTCACCGTGAATATTCTAAAACAACATTAAATAATATTATACTAATAGCTTTAGCAAACTAGAGATATTTTTAAGTTTGGAGGAGTTTGCTTGGGTTCTCTGTTTTAATAGCTTTAATTCCTAGTGGGTGTCCTAGTTAAGAATGATCCTTTAAGTTTAACAATTTAGTGATTTAAAAAATAATTTAATATTAACATTGTAATTTATTAAATTGAGTGTTGAAAAATAAACAGTAATTTAATCTTATCTAGAAAAGAATAAATGTATTCAATCTTTATCATTTATTTCTCTATTATAATAACATCAAATAGTTTCTCCTCCATTTAGACATCTATATCCATCTAAATACTTGCTTAAACAAGAATTCTTTTTTTTTTTTTTTTGAGAGGAAGATCAGCCCTGAGCTAACATCCATGCTAATCCTCCTCTTTTTGCTGAGGAAGACCAGCTCTGAGCTAACATCCATTGCCAATCCTCCTCCTTTTTTTTTTCCCCCCAAAACCCCAGTAGATAGTTGTATGTCTAGTTGCACATCCTTCCAGTTGCTGTATGTGGGACAGGGCCTCAGCATGGCCAGAGAAGCGGTGCGTCAGTGCGCACCCGGGATCCCGAACCTGGGCCGCCAGCAGCGGAGCGCACGCACCAAACCGCTAAGCCACCAGGCCAGCCCAAACAAGAATTCTTAGTGTCTTTATCAATAAATTTAAACAAAATGTTAAAAGATTTTTCCTTGATGTTCATAGTTTAAATAAAACAACAGAATTTATTAGGAAATATTTTGGGTAGCTGAAGCGAAATTTAAGTTATTAAGTTAAAAAAAAAGAACTCTGGGGCCGGCCCAGTGGTGCAAGTGGTTACGTGAGCGTGTTCCACTGCACCGGCCTGGGGTTCGCCGGTTTGGATCCCAGGCGCACACCAACACACTGCTTGGCAAGCCATGCTGTGGCGGCTTCCCATATAAAGTGGAGGAAGACGGGCACGGATGTTAGCCCAGGGCCAGTCTTCCTCAGCAAAAAAAGAGGAGGATTGGCAGATGTTAGCACAGGGCTGATCTCCTCACAAAAAAAAAAAGAAAGAAAAAGGACTCCATCAAAAGTACATAATATTTAGGACTTTAGCATTTTCCACACATAGCATTAGTATATGAAGCAACATCAATATAACAGCAAAATTCAGTTTCTAAAAAAATTAAAGTTTCCAATATACCATACCAGCTCATCAACTCTCTTCCTATGCTTATGTCTTGCTTTATCTCTCCATTTATTTAGGATAATTATTAGCCTGTAACAGTGGAACATCTGCTGGATCCACGACAGTGTGTCCGAAGAAAATGTATTAGATTACTGTATATAGTTAGAGCTGTTTCCAAAAAATAAAGTGTTTCATATTCTATCATGGTTGTAATATGAACCAATGTTGGATCTGACGGTTACTGCTTGATTTTAATTACATCTGAAATTAATTACTTTCGACAGCAGTAGATATACTCCTGAGACTTTATTAGTCTGTAAACATCACCTTTGCCCTTAGAAATTAAGATGTAATAAAATGTCAAGATATATATAATTTCTTCCTATTAATAAATCTGTTCTTTATAAAACCAGAACTTCCAAACTTATTCATAGAAATACAATCATGAGGTAGTATTCCAATTTAGTTAAATGCCCTATGGTTAAACAGATTGTCCTACATGTATATATATTTTTTTAATTATTTATTTATTTATTTATTTATTTATTTATTTCCCCCAAAGCCCCAGTAGATAGTTGTATGTCATAGTTGCACAGCCTTCTAGTTGCTGTATGTGGGACATGGCCCCAGCATGGCCAGAGAAGCAGTGTGTCAGTGTGCGCCCGGGATCCGAACCCAGGCCGCCAGCTGCGGAGCGCGCACACCTCACTGCTAAGCCACGGGGCCGGCCTACATGTATATTTTTAACGAGGTGTCCAAAGCTCAAATACACGGGCCAGGCTGGAAGGAAGATGACTAAGGCAGGCCTGGGGACACTTCTCATACAGGGCAGTGGCTTCTTAGCTGCTGGCAGTTGTCTCCTCCCAGAAATAGAGACCCATTATCCTTATGTTAAAACCTTCTGAATGTCCGCTCTGACTGAGGTGCCAACAGTAGCCAATCAAGAGGAAATGATTCTCTGGCTTGCAGCAGCCATAAACAAATCAACATCTGCAGAGCTGGATAAAATCTAAGCAGAAGGCTGGAGCTCTCTACCCCTGCTCCTAAGATCACGTACGTGCACTGTCCATTCATTGCAACTATCAGGGGTTTAACTAAAAGAAAGTTATTAATCTGTAAGTTTCCTCATGGATTCATTAAATGAAATATCTATAAAGAAAGGGAGCTCTCTACAAAACATAGTCAATTTTGGTACCCGTCTGTGATATCCCAACTTTCTATTACGTAAAAAAGCTGATAGTAGATCCCTATTTATATTTATATTTGTATATACATCATACAAACACATACAGGATTTTATTTTAAATACACCTGTTTTCTATTACAATAAAACCCTTTGAGACAGATCTCAGCAAATATTTTAAATTAGTGGCTTTACATTTCATGACAATTCTCTAGACATAAAAATAATAAATTCTTTAGTACAAACTATGCTTAACTGTTAAGTTTGTTGGCTCTTTGAATACACGAATACAAAAGCTAGTTGCTACTATGTATGGATTTACCTTTAAGTTGTTCTTTTTTACCTTTCACATAAGAGTGCCAATGATGAAATATGTATTTTTGAAGTCTGAAATTGTCACATTTCATTGCTTTTTCCATTTTTTCAGCCAGATTGTTATCTTCATTTGTACAAGGTATTGCTATATCTCTCCAAGTGCTATAGGCAGAAAATACAGAAAAATAATAGTTTGATGTTACGGCAATACATTAGTAAATAAATTGAGAGGGAGAAGAAGTAATACCTCTGGTTTAGCTCCCGACAAACCACAGCACAGAAAGAAATTGTTAAATTATTTTTATTGTTTTATTCCCAGCCACTCCTTCCATTTCATCTGAGCTTGCCCTTCCCTTTTCCATGTTTCTAAAGCCCAGACAGCTCTGAAATCCAAGTTTTTTCATAACCTATTTAGAGGCAAAACTAGACCTGATCTAAACTAATTTTACATCAAGATCTCTTTGGATCTGACACATGGCTGTTGACAGTCTTTCTTCATTTCACTTAGTAAGAATATGTATGTGTTTCATTGTAGAAATACTAATATGTTCAAATATGTTTGGTTCCAATGTGCCGCCCCACACACCATTGAAGATGTTATATAATACACAGTATGTGCAGAGATTACCTTTCTAAAATTAAAACAAAAGAAAGGAATCCAAATTCCAAAATATATCTGGTTCCAAGAGTTTCAGATAAGGGGATTATGGACCTGTACTTTCAACTTTGAAGCTTTATTAAAAAAAAAAGAAAAAATGATACCTTCAAGAAGTAAAGAACGTATTTTAACTAAGTAAAAGCCGATTGAATATAAAAGAAATATGTAATACAAAATGGTAGAGACATGATTAAATATATAAAATCAGCATAACTGGCCAAAAATGAGTTTTTCTTCATATGGAGAATACTAACAAGAACACAAAGAACATACAGTATGTAAAAATCACGTTCTTACCAAAAGTGGGTCTTTACTAAGTGTCCAGTATAAAATGTACAGGCTTTTAGCATCAATCCTTGAGTCATCTAAAATAAACAAATAAATTAAATAAACATTAGAAATAAATGGAATGCACAAGCTACCTTTGGAAGATGCACAGGAAAATGAGAGCAATGGCTGCATCTGGGGAGCAGAATTGGGCAATAGGGAGACAGGAACAGACTGTAAGAACTATATACCATTCACATATTTTGGAATTTTATCATTTATACCTATTACCTATTTTATAAAAGTGAAAATCACAGTTTAAAATTTTCCCATTACCTTGCACTTACTTTAAAGCATTTTAAGGTAGGTACTATGACATTATTATTGTCAGCTCTATTGATAGGGGCAAAAAGGGGTATAACATTGCAGGTATTCTGATCACTATTTTTTTTTTATTTTATTTATTTTATTTTCTTCCCCCAAAGCCCCAGTAGATAGTTGTATGTCATAGCTGCACATCCTTCTAGTTGCTGTATGTGGGACGTGGCCTCAGCATGGCGGGAGAAGCAGTGCGTCAGTGCACGCCCGGGATCTGAACCCAGGCCGCCAGCAGCAGAGCACGCGCACTTAACCGCTAAGCCACGGGGCCGGCCCTCTGATCTCTATTAAACTGAATAATTTTGCCTTCTCAAGAGTATAAAATGAGATTCTCTTTAAAAAAAAAAAAATACAGGAATGCCTCGCTTACCAAGTAGGAATAGGAAAACCACATAAAAGTCTAAACTGTGGAATGTGCTGCAAGAGACGCAAATTTATCACTTGCAGCTATTCACAATAACACACATTAACACATGGGAACAGCTAACTGAGGACTGCTGAAATTGTCTGTACTTTCAGTGTTTTTTGTGTGTGTGTGGGAGGAAGATCAGCCCTGAGCTAACATCTGTCACCAATCCTCCTCTTTTTGCTGAGGAAGACTGGCCCTGGGCTAACATCCGTTCCCATCTTCCTCCACTTTTATATGGGACACCGCCACAGCACGGCTTGACAAGGAGTGCATCAGTGCAAGACTGGGATCCAAACTCCCGGGCCGCAGCAGCAGAGCACACACGCTTAAACGCTACGCCACCTAGCCGGCCCTCTTTCAGTGTATTTTTAATGAGTAAAGATAATATTAATTTTTATTTATTTATTTTTTCCCCCAAAGCCCCAGTAGATAGTTGTATGTCATAGTTGCACATCCTTCTAGTTGCTGTATGTGGGACACGGCCTCAGCGTGGCCGGAGAAGCAGTGCGTCGGTGCGCGCCCAGGATCTGAACCTGGGCCGCCAGCAGCGGAGCACGCACACTTAACGGCTAAGCCACGGGGCCGGCCCCTAAAGATAATATTATATTAACACACTTATATGAACATGGCCACTGTTAAGTGCTAATGGTGTACATTTTTCTCTTATGTTATTGAGACCTGTTTACCATTTACAAACACAAATATACAGTCACACCTATTTGGTGTAGAGATAAGTTTGGTTCAAATCTATACCGACAGTCTGGAACTCTGAATTCTACTTTTCTAAGGCAAATGCTTTTCTCCTTTGCACATTGCTGTAAAGCCTTTGTTAAGTTAATAGATACAGCATACACATGTTAATCATGGGTTTATTTTAGGCATACAACAAAGACCCATAGGCCCCTGACATTCTGCCTTATGTTCAATGACATTTGGAAATCCTCACTTTTGATGGGGATTGCATACAAATTATGCTTGTGGTGAAGGAGAACATAAAGCATTGAAGTTATTCTTTACTAAATTCTGATTTTTATGGGGGAAAGGAATCAAAGGAGTAAAGTAAGAGTAATGGAGATATCATAACAGGGAGATAAAACCAAGAAAGGAATGAGGTGGCAGAGGTAAAGACAAGTTTCATCTGCATTATGATTTTTCACTTCTACTGTTGGCCCCTAAATTTCCTAAGCCTAAACTTTTCTTCAGAAGACATAACCTGGAAAGTGTTATATAAATATCTATAATAAATGGCATAGGTCATAAAAATGTGAGTATATTACAAGATCAAATGGATATAGTTCAGAACATTATGGTAATGACTTTGAAAAGAAAAATCGTAATTCAGCCAGTAATTTGAACTCGAGTTTTCTATCTAATGATCAACTCTCTAAATCAGCATGAAATTATTCTTTCTGTTCTATTGTTGAAAGAAGTTGAAGTCCTCGTTAATTCATGACTTATGATATGCTGGAAGAGTTTGTCATTCTAATATTCCTTTTTAAGAGTTTCTTTCCCTAAATTCTTATTTTAATTTTACATATATTATTCTCCTGGTTTAAAAAAAACACTAAAAGAATTAAAATAACCATGATTTTTCCTCACTGTTGGCATCCTTTTAGTTTCTCCATGGGGAAAAGTAGCTTTAAGAGAGTATCTCTGAGGGACTGGCCTGCAGCAAGGGCTCCAGCGCAGTGATGCTCCATCGCCACCTTGGGGCTGGACATGTTCCAATTCCACTGCAGTTCAGCGGCACCACTGACCAGTCTAACCATCAGACACAGGCAGGTACATTGGGTCACATGCTTTCATTTCCAGGGCTCAAGGTTTTCACCATTGATGCTCCAGGAACTTGCTTTCTACTCTTCAAAGCCGTCGTATATTGGTTAACTGCTTGTGATTGGAAAATATTCTTTCTCTCACCTTTTTATTCCAGCTAGCAGTGTATTGCACCGAGTAGCAGCTCAACAGATATGTATGGATTGACTGACTGCATTAGAAACTGCCAAATCTCTGCCATCTGGCTACTACAGTGGATGGTAGATGTGGGCAACAACTTTGTAGGGAAGTTGCTGGATAAAAAGCAACTTGGTGTTGGTATAGAGGACCTCAGAGTGAGAGTCCTGTTTCCAGGCCCCACATACGACTCACACTGATTGCCCACAAGGGCTGCTGCACACAGACACCTGCTAGTTATAACTGAAGAGGGAGAAGGAGAGGAAGGTGAATCACCACACGATTTCTGAGAGTCTGGATATATTGTAGGCTTAGCTTCGGGTCTGGAAATAAAAGAAGAAGTTCTGCCATGGGAGACGGTTTTGAAAGTTAAAGAGTGGGAATGTCTAAATAATGGATTAGCTGTGAGTTGGTGTCAAGATGGCAGCATAGGTGGACTCTGAACTCACCTCCTCCCACAGACACAACAAATTTACAACTACTCTTGGAACAATTACCCCTGAGAACTGAAAACTGGATAAAAAGAACCCCCACAACAAGGGACAGTGTTGACTGAGGTGGAAGAGGCAGAAATTCCTTTCTGGAGAGAAAAAAAGCCACCTTCGCAAGCCGCAGCACTTCATGGCTGGCTGGGAGCAAGGTTAAGGTACATAGCCTTCCCTGGAGGAGTGGGGGCTCTGAGCACAGAAGCGTTACCACTATAAGCAGCTTTTGGACTCAGCACAACCGAGACAAGTGTCATAATATCTGGCTTTTCTGGCTACCAACAACAACGGGGAATATCCTCAGAAAAGCTATCAAACATAAGGGGAAAAAAGCCTGCTCTTAAAGGGCTCACGCACAAATTCACCCATTTCGGAAAGCAACCTAAAATCACCAGAAGGAAAGGTGCACAGATCTTTGGTGAAGAGACTCACCTGATAGGCTCCAGGTGCATCTTGGTGAGAGGCGAGACCTCTCTAGGGACTGAGACATTGGCAGCAGTCATTATTGTGACCTAGTACAGGCATGCTGACACAGACACCAGCAGACACCATTAGAATTCTCCTCTGGTGTGTTAGCCCAGGGTCTGCCCCATCCACTAGAGCACAGCTTTAATCCAGCTCAGCCAGGGCAGGCAGCCTGCGTAGGGACTGGCCCCACCCAATAGCAAGCCCTCAGGCAACTTGTAGGCTTGCATAGGTGGGATGCCTGGATCCTCTGCAGCCAGGCAGGTGGGTCCACCTCTGCGGGGCAGGGCATGCGCAAGGAGTGGGTGGAGCGTGTATGGCATTGGTGGAGTGTGTGGGGCCTCTGCAGTGGGGCAACTGGGTCTGCTTCAAGGGGGTGGGGCGCACGCACGGGGCAGGACTATATTGATGGTATGCGTGGTCCTGTGGGCGGTGGGGCTTGTCAGCTGCAGAAGATTTGTTCTTCTCAAATAGCCACATGGGGGAGCAGCCCCACCTTCCAAAGCCTGAAACAATTGGGTGTTCCCAGGCCTGGGGCAGCCCCACTCAGCTACAATCCTGAGAGAGCTGACAACAGCCTTGCAGGCCGGAGGCCTGGCCTACAGCATTTGTGAGCCCTTAAGCCTAGCAACCAGCCACACTGGGGGCCTACTCACTTAACAGAAAGACTGCAACAAGAGTGTGCTATTAGACCTTGTATCCAACTGTGCTGGAGCTCCCCATGCCTGATAAAGTGACTGAAGGGTCCATAGCAGCCACACTCATCTGAGCATTACAACCAGCCGGCCAGGGGGACAGCCTAGCCTTCCTCGGCACGTCCAGTAAGAGCAACCCTGCCACAATAGAAAGACACACGTAGCCCACACAGGGGTCACTCCTGGAACATCTAGAACTAGTGACAAGAGGGAAGCACATTGTTGGGCCTCATAAGGCATCTCTTACATAAGGCCACCTCTCGACCCACCTAATACACAGACATAAGCACAGAGAAAGAGGCAAAATGAGGAGGCAAAAGAATACATTCTAAGTAAAGGAACAGGACAAAACCCCAGAAAAAGATTTAAATGAAACAGAAATGAGCAATCTACCTGACAAAGAGTTCAAACAAAGAGTCATAAGGATGCTCACTGATCTTGGGAGAAGAATGGATGAACTCAGTAAGTACGTCAACAAAGAAATGGAAAATAGAGGCAGTGCAGTTTGGAATGTTATTATTAACACTGTTCTACTTGTATCCCGGGCTGGTGAAACCTGGGGAAATTTTGTAATAAATGAAAAGATAATGAAATACCATTACAAATCATTAATGCTAACTTACACACAGATACTGAATTTATGGCTCTTTAATGTAAGTAGTAATTGGTCTCACTAATTTTTAACTTTGTAAGATAATGTCCATTTATTATATATG